GACTAGAGAATGGATGACAGAAATCAGTTACCTTCTCTCCATCAGTAAGAATATTGAGAAAGTTTGTTTGAGAAGGAGAAAAATGTATGATATGCACCTGAAAACCACGGGTGTTTATAAGCAAATCAGAAAATATGTAGATTCATACATATTAAAGTAATAAATTCCCAGCCTTGTGAAAAATAAAAAAAAATATTGGACCAATACTATCATTTCATCTATTGAGACAAAGGTGCAGGTAAATAATCCTTAGTACAGATCTCCCGTGTAAAATTACTGTAGTTTTTAACTATATCATTGTTATATGTAAAGATATCTATTTTAGTCCTGTGCCTCTATTATACATATTTAATGATATTTGAATATCTTTGTAATGTAAAATATTAACCTTGAATATTTTAAAAATTTATATACCACAAAAAGTCTAAAATTATTTTACTAAAACTCAAGGAGTATAGAAATATGTTATGTAATATTTATTATATTTCTCCTATAGTTTTCCACCTCTCTAATATACAAACTAAATTTAATTTTTGCTTTAAGACTAAGAACAGGAATTCTTGTAAAAAAAATGAATGCTGCAGCAATAACTCATAGGAAATGCAACTGGAGTTTAATTTGAATGCACAAAGTATCAGCTATCATACAAAAATATATAAAAATATAAAGAATTTAGTTTAGAAAAAAAATTGTTCAACTTTTCAAGCTCATGGGTCAGTCTGTGCAAATCCCTTTTGCTCTCTTTAACCTGCTAAACTTCTGGAAATAGTTGGAGGTGAAGGTGAAGGCAGAGAAAAGGGAACATGATAAAGATCATCAGTTATTCTACTAAAATCCTTTTTAGTTGTTCTCGTTTGGATATGAAGTTTCTCTAAAAGCTCCTGTTCATGAAGGAATTGTCAGAGGTAAGATGATTAAATTATGAGAGCTGTAACCTAATTGGCCCATCCTAGTTTGCTGGCTGACTGGGTGGTAACTCTAGAAAGGTGGGGAATGACTAGAGGAGTTGGGTCACTGAGGTTGTGCCCTGGAAGAGTGTGTCTTGTCTTTGGCCTCTTCTCCCCTCCCTCCTTCTCGATGTTTCCTTACCCTTCCAAGACCCCAGCAGCTTGACTCTGCTGGGCCCTTCCTTCATGAAGTGCTGTATCACCTTGGGTCCAGAGTAATGGAGTTTTGCCTCCTCTAAATTGTTCTTGTTGGATATTTTGGTTACAGTGATGCAAAAGCTGGCTAAAACACTCTGTTCATACAATACTGTATGGCACCTTTCAATATGGCTCCAGGAATAGAATGAAGCTATAGGAGTTTTGCATTGCACATTCCAGAAGGCATCCCCACACACAGCATCCCTGTGTTACCCCAACTCTCCTTCCTTATTTCATTTATTATTCAGCTTTTTTTTCTTATTTCCTAACATCAAGCCCACTCCATGCTATTCAGTTCTCCCAATACGACACCCCAAATATTCAAGTCTCTAAGCTATCTCTTACATGATTTTCTCTTCACAGAACAATGTTCCTAATTCCCTCAATCTGTCAAGAATATTACTTATTCATGTCAAAATTTGTTCTTATTGCTGAATTTAAAATTTTATATTTTTTCTATCATTTATTGAAAATTATTAACAAATATGCACAATATTGTCAAATAGTAATTTTTCTCCTCAGTTTGTTCCCACAAAACTTCTCTTTCAGATTTTTTTTTTATTATTTTAACTTTGTACTCAGTTTTAGTAAGGCATAATCCACAAATAAAATTGTATATATTTATGGTATATAATGTGAAATTTTGATACATATATGCATTATAAAATGATTAAATCAAGTTAATTAATATATGCATTACCTCACATAAACATTAAAAATCTACTCTCTTAGCAATTTAAAAATATATAATACATTATTATTAGCTGTAATCATCATGTTGTACAGTGGATCTCCAGAACTTATTCATCTTGTTTAACTGAAACTTTGAACCCTTCAACCAACATCTGTACCAATATTGAATGGCAATATTGGATGGCAAATGTTTTTAAAAAACAATTTTTTTTGATACCAGAGATTGAGCCCAGGGGTACTTAACCACTGAGCCACATAATATTTTATTTAGAGCCAGGGTGTCCCTGAGTTGCTTAGGGCCTCGCTGAGTTGCTGAGGCTGGCTTAAACCTGGAATCCTCCTGCCTCAGCCTTCTGAGCTACTGGGATTACAGTGTGCACCACCAGGCCTGGTAGTTTGACTTTTTCTTTTTGATTCCATATATGTCCCACAAAACTTATTAGATTAAATTTTATGTTACAATTTTTTATTCTACTCTCCATATACTTTTGTTCTATTCTGAGTTATTTCTTTATGATAGATTTATTTATCTTTTTTCCAGGTCTAATATGCTATTTATCTCATTGTTTAGTTTTCAAAATATCTGTTATAAAACATTTCAAACACATATCAGAATAGAATAGTGTAATGAACCCCTCTGAACCCATCAATCTAAGACAATTACTAATTTATTGTGAATGTTGCTGTATCTGGGTCCACTTCTGCTTCTGTATTATTTGGAAGCAACTTTCAGATAAATAAACAAATAAACTGTATCCCAGTTACACTGTTTCAGCTTAAATTTTTTTTTTGTCTTTTTCACAGTAGTGAGAAAGCCATACTTACTCAGTAGAAAACATATTTTGAATTTTTATCTTTTTCTGGACAGAAGATTTTCAGCAGAATACCCTGTAGCAATAGCAAGCTACTGCTTCTATTGAGCCACTTGATCATAAGCATAAATAAGAAATATTCTACAATATACTGTGTTGCTCATTATGCTGTTCAATAGGTTAGATGTATTAAATGCATTTGGACTAGTGAGATTTTCCTCTTCTGTTGGGTTTATCAAGACGTAACCCCATCATAAGTCGAGGAGCATCTACACTTTCAATTTAATTATTTTTTTGAGGTATCTCTCATTTTGAATGATGGTATCATTTTCCTATTTGAAAGTAAATAATAATTACTTAATATCAAATAGCTATACTGCTTACATTTGCAACTGTCATTTACATATGTTAACTTATAAAAAGATTATTGTTCAAATCAGGCTGTAATTAAAAGAAATTGTTAATGCTTAATAAGTCTTTTAGGTCTACTTTAATCTCTAGAATCCCCTTTGCTGTCCATCTCATTTTTTCCTATTATTTCTTGAAGAAACCGGATTATTTGTCCGGTAGTTTCTCACCATCTGGATTTTGCTCTTTGTGTCTTTGTAGTGTTTCTGAAACCATTCCTGTCTTCCATGGTTCCTGAACATTGCTTGGTGGATCTGGAGGCAAGACTACCTTTATTTATTTATTTGTTTGTATGTGTGTTTGTTTGTTTTCTGGCAACAGTCTCTTATGTGGGGCTGGCTTCTTTCATCAGGAGGCATGTAATGACTTGCTGTTTCCCCTTGTGGATGCTGGCAGTGTTCAAAAATCATTGTCTACATCCAAAGTCCATTAGGGTATGCAAAATAGAGACATCCTAATTCTGTCATTCCTTCTTTTTTTATTAGAGAGAACAATTCTATAAAAGGTTTCTACCGCATCAGCTAATCTTATCATTTCCTGATTATTTTAGCTACAAAGATTTAAAGAGAAAATTTCATGTCTACTGTCAGTAGTGGAGTTCTCAAAAGAAAGATTAAAGTTATCCCCATTTTGAAGTTTTTAAAGCAATGAACTGAAAATTAGTATTCTGTAAAGATGACCCATTAGGCTTTAAAATATCATTTTAATACACAGATTTATGCTGATTTGGTGTACTATATTTAATGTCTTATTTAAAGCTCAGATTCTCATATTTTAGATCCTTTTGACTGACCATCATAATAGCATGCTTCCTTGCCATAAGGGTTCTCAAGACAGTTAGATAAAAGATAGACAATAAAAAAAGAAAACTTAGAGAATTTAGTGAGAAATATGATATTTAGGGTAAGAAAAGGAATCCTAGTAGATTTTACAGAGAATTTGGTATGGTAATTGGGTGGTCTCTTGTGTCTTTGCTAATATAAAATATATTGCACAAGGAACAGATATTGGGAACATAGAAAATAAATTAAACCATTCTTTAATTATGGGTTAATTAAGGGAGATCAGTAATTGAGGGAGATGCATTTATTCTAATTATTTTATGTTGATTGAAATATCACAATGCACTTTAATTTGATTATCATGTTTGATTTTTTTTTTTTTTACAGAGGTAGGTAATCACACCAGTTTGTAGACAAATAAGCTGAGGATTACAGAGGGTAAGCTACTTTTAAAGTCTCCAGGCAAGAAAAGAGCAGAAATTTGACTTAAATACCTGTTTTCTCACTCCAAGTTCTGAGAGCTCTTCATTATTTCTTGGTAGAGAAAAATACATTAATTCACATATTTTGAAAGCTTTGTGTTGAGGATAAAAACAATGATATTCTGAATGCTTCTATTAAGTAGAAGACTCAGGTGGCAGCAGAACACAACAGACACTAGTATGGCAATATGTAAATCAATGGATGTGTAACTGATGTGATTCTGCAATCTGTATATGGGGTAAAAATGGGAGCTCATAACCCACTTGAATCAAAGTGTGAAATATGATATATCAAGAACTATGTAATGTTTTGAACAGCCAACAATAAAAAAATTTAAAAAAAAACCAGAATATTTATCCCACTATGCACATGTTCTCCTTCACTTTGCAAATGCAAACATGTCTTACAACAGCCATGGTATACATGTGTGTGAGGATCCTCCTCAGGGAACATTCTGACAGGAAAGCTAATGAACACTGTAGCTAGAGGTCATTTTGTTCCTTAATCACTTACTTCCAAATTCACACTATTAAACCCACAACTTTAATACTCTGTCAAATCTGTTTGCATAGAATTTTTTCACTGTATTTTTTTTTACATTTAATTCTCTTTACTTTGGAGCCCAGAATGAAAGGATTAGAGAGTGCAGATTTCCCTTCTCCAAAAGGCTCGCTTACCTCTGTTTAACTTTATCTGCAGAGCCCGCTGAGAGCCTGTCTAGGGGAGACCCAAAGCCAGAAAAGCTCCTTTTCTTCTTTGTCTCTGTCACGTCGTTCTCCAAAGATACCAGCTCATCAAGGAGCAAGAGTTTTGCAGCCAGGTCAGTGGCTGACTTCTCTTCTCGGACTGTGGGTGGTGACTGCAAATCTGTGACTCCAGAATCAAAGGCCTGTAGAGCAGAGAAAGGTGGTTCTACTCTTTAGATGAAGAAACCCAAATTAGGTAAAGTTAGTGGACACTTCCTGTATTTAGATGATATCCCTTTTGTGTTACGTTCTATACTTTCTCATGGAATTATGTTTCACACAGAAAGCTAAACCTTTGGGGAAGGAAACATATAAAGGTAGAGTATATATATCCAAGAGAAAACAGACAAAACAAAAACTCCAGGCTTGTCTCTAAAATTGAACATATTCTGATTATTCTTTTGATTTTGTACCACTAAGAATTGAATTCTTGCTTATCATTCTTAGAATGCTTTATCTATACCTTTTCATCATCATACCTATTACATTTTATTTTATTTACATTAGATTGCTTACAACACATTTGTATTCCTTATCAGATTATAAATAACTTGAGGACAAAGACTGTCTGATTAATCTTTTATTTACTTTATTCAATACATAGCCCAGTATTTTACTCAGAGTTAGTACTCAATAAATAACTGATGAATATTTATTGGATGAACTCTCAAAAAAAAAAACAAACAAACAAACAAAAAAAACTAAACCTCTTGCTGTTTCCCTTTAGTCACTCATTCGTTATTTATTTATAAAACCTATTAAAATACCAATCTATGCCAGGCTCTGCATTATATTGAAGGGATACAAAAATGAAGAAAATTTAGCCACTTGCATGTCCAGGGACTAAACTTCTCCATCCATGCAATTTATTCACAATCTGTGAGTGTCTACAATGCATGAGAACTAACCCAATTTAATGTCAAAGTCTAGGATAAAATTTCTTGTTTGCTTAGATGTTACTATATATTGTCACTTTGTACTTCATCCAAGTCATAATATAGGTATGGATGCTCAGATTGTGAAGTCTCTTTTTTTTTTTTCCTTTCTGGGACTCAACAAAACAAAACAAAACAAATCCTCTGCTCCTATTAACCATCCCTGTCATTCTGCAGTACAGGAAACACTGCTTCTTTTTAAAAGCTTGAGAATATTTCTCTAAGGGAGGAAACTAGATTCAGGGGCTTTCTTCCTTTCCTCTCTCACTTCCATCACATTTTTCCATTTACCTCACTCTTGGTCACAACAAAGAAACTGAAGAAGAGATGGAATGTCAGAAAGAAACCCCAAAGAGCAGGAGACAGACCTTCAAAGGCAAAGATCTTACATTATCTCCAAAGCAGCCTTCACAAAATATTCTTCCAACTAATATATATACCAAGTAGAGTTTTGTTTCTTTAAGATACCCTTAATTCTGCAGGGGGTGGGTGGGTGGACTATAGAATTCATGTAAGACTAAACCTTTTGTAAGGTGCATTTCAAATCCTTACTTTAGGTTACTTAAGAAGTACAGAGAATACATGTTTCTCATAAGATCAAACTTAATTTGATCTTGAGTTTTCTCTGTGTGGAGATGTCCTCATATTTGCTTTTCTTTGTACTGGTCAAGACATAAAGAAAACATTTATACTGTAATAAAAAATACACAAAATTTGGAATGCAAACAAGTTCAAACTGATTTAATTAAAACTGGTAGAGCTGGGGGCGGTGGTGCACACCTGCAATCCCAGCAGATCAGGAGGCTGAGGCACAATCGCAAGTTCAAGACCAGACTTGGCAATTTGATAAGACCTTAAGCAATTTACCAAGACCCTATGTCAAAAGAAAAACTAAAAGGGACAAAGGACTGGGGATGTGGCTCAGCAGTTAAGTGTTCCTGGGTTCAATTCCCAGTACCAATTGAAAAAAAAAAAAAAAAAAAAAGAAAGAAAAAAAGAAAAATGGTAGAAATTTTATATATATATATATATATATATATATATATATATATATATATATATATAAATGCTTTCTACTTTAAGGAATACAAGTGTTTCTTATTTCGAGTTACTTTTAATGTTGAAAATATGTGACTTGCTCTGAATTTGCTTAGAAGGTTAATAATCATTACTATTTACATTTAAAGTTCTCAACCTTGAATAACATTGGCAAAACAAACAAACAAAAAAAGCAATAGCAAAAGCACCTATTTCCTTGACTTTGTGTTATCAAAATATATCCCTATTTTTTAGCTGTGCCTCCTGACTATAGTAAAAATAGCTTGTGTTCATAAAACTGTTGATAAAGTCTTTCAAGATAGTTTCCATTACCTCTGTTGCTGCATCCACTGAGAGCACTTTTCCTGAGCTCCACAATATCAAAGACACAGCCAGGATGAAATGTGCACTTGCCAGTCTCCAGTCCAGCATCTAAGGGTCATGTAGATCAGGGTTAGCATTGATTAGTTTTGAATAGAAATATAGAGAAGAAATCTCCTAAGAAGTATGTTACATGCACATGATAAGCACTTCTGTGTACAGGAGTGTATTTCTACAAAACTTAAATGATACTCAATAGAAGCTGTCAGTCTTCCAGATTGAATTCAATCAAGTCTTCATTTACACGGAAACATAGATTGGGTTTGTATAGCTATAATAATAATAATAATAATTTAATTCAAAGTAACCTGGGGTCTGAGAAATTTATATAACTTTATTCTTTGTCTAATACAGAGAATGAAGCCTCACGTACCTAAGGAGAAATATGTAAAATTGGCAAGGTAAAAGAGAAAAAGGCCTGATGGGTTCTGAATCAGACAGAATGTGGTGTATCTGAAAGCATTTACATTAAAAAAATTATATTTTTATTATGTCAGAATTTTTATGCAAGTTTCAAAATGTACATATAGAAAAAATAGTGAAATTTCAATACAAAATGTTAAAATTCCATGTCCAATCTAATAAAATCAAAAGACAAATTACAAAATGGAAGATATTATTAATAAATATATAAAAGAAAAAATAGTATTTGGAGCATGTAAATAAGTCTGATAAATAAATTTAAAATATAGACACACAACTAAATAAAAATGGCCAAAATTGTAAATGGAGATTTCATAGAAAAGGAGAGAAGTTAATGGAAAATAAACATCCCATAATATATGTAGCCTATTTAACATAAATAAAAAGAGAAATGATATACCATTTACACAATAAGATCAGCAAGAAATTTAAGACACCACTGCATATGTTTAGAATAATGCTAGAAAAAAGAAAATATAAAAATGCTGATTTGGAAATGGATCCTTCCATTTGAAAAAAATTGGGCATAAGGATTGAAAGTGATCATGCAATACCTATGATCTTTTATTTTGCTTCTGGGTATATATCTCTGAGAAACTCTTATAAGCTTATTAGGAGACATGTGTCTGGAAGTCCAAACCCTTATAGTAGTAAAAAGCTGGAATCAACCCAAGTGGTCCATTCGAAAGATGAGGATTTGTCAATTGAAATTTATTTATACTATGGACTTAAAGCAAATAATTTAGATATACTTCTATTTACCATTGAATTATTTAAATGTATTTGTGGATTTCATTAAAACTGGGAGTGGGGAGTATAGAACAATACATGTATTATGGTTTGGATATGAAGTGTCCGAAAAGCTCTTGTGTGAGACAATGCAAGAAGGTTCAGAGGACAAGTGATTGGGTTGTGAGAGTCTAAACCCAATCAGTGAATTAATCCCCTGATGGGATTAACTGAAGGCCGTTGGGGTATGGCAGGAGGATGTGGGACAAAGGGCGTATAGCTTTGTATATATTTGTATCTGGTGAGTGGAGCTCTCTCTCTGCTTCCTGATTATCAGGTGAGCTGATTCCCTTCTCCACACTCTCTTACCATAAGGTTCTGCCTCACCTTGAGCCCCAAGGAATGGAGCCAGCCATCTATGGACTAAGACCTCTGCAACCATGATCCCTCAAATAAACTTTTCCTCCTCTGCAATTGTTCTGGTCAGATCTTTTAGTCACAGCAGAGAAAAAGCTGACTAAAACAACATGTCATAACACTATATAACTGAATTAAAAATACATAAAGCAATTCTTTTATTTTGCTTCTGGGTATTTTTTGAATATATACATATAATTAAACTGTAAACCAATAGAACTTGATTTATGAATATGAGTGCCTCAGAAGAAGAAATAAGGTGAATAAGATTATGGAGGAAAGATAAAGGACTTAGTTTTTAATCTATAATTTTAAAAAAAGTAAATATATAAAAAATTACATTTAAAAATTCTGTGTAGTAGGCACAAATGTATGTCATTTATATATTTGTGATTTATACAGCCAATTAAAGTTCATCTATGATTTCTATTGGGCTTGCTGATTGCCTGATTGAATAATAAACTCTGAACATTGAATAGTACAGGAGGAGACATTGTCCTACTGAGGGCAGACTTCAGGTATGAGCCAGCTGGAATAGAGTCTTTGCCACTTAATATGAAGAATTGGGTAAGTCTCCAAGGTTCATTGGTAATTAATGAGAAGTCTCAGTACACTTCTGTCTCCTTAAGGAATAATAATTTGAAAAACTTGCTGGGGGCAAAGAGAAAGAAATGCTACCATGAAATCTGAAGGACTGGGTTTGATTCTCATTATTTTTGTTTTCATATTAGTGTGACCTTGTGTGTGTGTGTGTATACACACACACACAAACACACACACACACACACACACACACATATATATATCATTTAACACACTTGAGCTTCATTTTACTTATATATGAAGTGAGAAGTAATTTTCACCTAATAAGAGCTTTGAGAGGAGTAAATTGATTCATGCATAGCCCCTTTATGTGGTATTTATAATTTGTAAGTGAAGAAATATTTATGAGAATTACTAAATATTTCTTTAATAACAACATACATTTTGGTGTGACTAAAATTTTTCTTTATGACACTTCCTTAAAATATTATCTTAAAACCTCAGTGTAAATCTTAGTGATATATGTTGCATGTTAGAATATGAACAAATAAATTTTTTGTATAAGCAGAGTAGCATCTGTATTAATTATGTTTATTGAGACTAAATGGAGATAAAAATATTTTGGCATTGTCTGTAAAATTTATTTTTATCAAATATAATTTTAATTTTCACATAGTTTAGCCCAAACTATTTGCTCATTATCACATCAAATAATTTATTTTGGAATCTTGCACTTCATACTATTCACTATATATTTTCTTTATTCCATCCTTTCCTGGAAAGAAGCAAGAAACAAATTCTTTGTTCTCTTTTTGCTAAACTGATATTTGATTTGGGTATTTTCGCAATAAATAGTAATTTTTGCATAAATCATGACTATGTCTCTAAATTGAGAAAATAGATGAGAAATAATGCAACCAACCAAACACTGCCTTAGCTATTCCTTTAGAAAATCAGCCACTTAGTCATAATTTGTGCTCATTTTGCTGATGTTTCTTTATCCTCCACATAAAGGAAAACATATTAAGAACAAAGGTATATTTTTAAACCTGATCTCATGTTTTATATATATATTATTTTAAAATAGAGTTCTATCATTTAATCGAAGATAAACTACCACTGTGATGTTTTCCTTCTTCATTTTTATTATGTTAAAAATAGGTTTTAGAGTGTGAAATTGCCAAATTTTATAAGTGTTTCCATGTGGATTTCCTTTAACTATTTTTATACACTTCTTACTAAGGTTTCTCTCCATTTCTGTAATCTTATAAATGGCACAGGATGATGGGTGTTTATAGTATTGATGATTATGTCTGAGGCATATATTTTTGTGCTTGGGTGTATATAGGAAAAAAGTCATAATATATCATCTAACAGATAACCACATCCTGATTATTTGGATAGGGAGACGTAAAAATAAATGCCGAGTTAAATACACTCATTTAATGGTTTAAAGCCAAGCTTGTAGCCAGTTAACCAAAAGGCCAAGTTCCTAAAAATGGCATTTGGTACACTAATGAAAACAAGCACCCTGGCACCTGCCGCACAAAAGACATTTGATTAACCAGTTGAAACTTGACTGCTACAAAATTAGAAACAGAGGAAATTATAGGGAGGAAAGGAAAAGATTACCTTTAGGCCCATTTCCCTATTTTGTTGATAGTGCATAAATATAGCTCATGGTTTAAAAATCTCCTAAACCCCATGTACACTCCGATTCATAGAGAGACCCTCAAGGGATGTTCATTGACTGTGTGAATTCACCAAAGGGGGAAGTATGTGCACCCTTTCAGTATATCAATCATTTTTATTGAGTAGTATTCCTCTGGGTATTGAAGAATTTCAAAAGAGACAAGTGAGCACAGGATTTACTATATAAGAAGATTTTGTGTGTGCTTCAGTCTTAGGCAATTGGAATAGTATATGTGTTTACTTTGTAAACAATACTGCTCATGAAGAAATATTTCACATAGTCAAACATTTTCAGCTCTTTTTCATAGCTTTTCTACCTGTAAGACTTTCCATCCCGAAAGAATCTTCCGAACTCAAGCTGGAGTGGTGGTAGATGGATCAAGAAGGAGGGATACAAACTTTTGTCACTTAAGTAGGGGAAACAATATGTATTGCTTATTCCTTTAGAGAAGTGATAGTTCATATTGACATGCTGCTATGAAAGTCCAGCAGACTTAAATATATTTAAACCCCAGTTTAGTGAGAAGACTATTAAAATGAAGAAAAGTGTTTCATTGTTAAGAATCAGTGCATTATCATTATTCATCTTTACTGGGAACAACAAATCTCTGAAGTGGCTAGGCATGAAAAAAAAAAAAAGATTGAGAATCATCATTTGAAAAAAGGGAGACCAAACTAGAGCAAAGTGCTAAATTTCAAGATGATAAAGGTGAAAAAGAGAAGCATTGTGAGCTAGTATCTGACCTAAGGCATTTTAAAACTGATAAAACTTTTAAAGTATCTGCATCTGAAGAAAAAAACTTCTCAAGTGATTAAAAACATTTCTCTTCAACCTGAGACTTAATGATTTACATTTAACTTAAGGATATTAGATCCAAGTATTAGAAACTACTGGGGTTTTGGGTGAATCTTGATATCAACTGGGAATTTTTTATTTTCCCCAATATCTTGATTGAAGATATTCAAAACAGACTCTATGCACATTTTCAACAAAAATTTAAAATAAAGGACTTAATTAAAGATTAAAGACTTATGGCTAATTCAACTTTCACTTTTTCTTTACCTTCTCTTCTCATTTAAAAAAAATTAACAGGACATTCTAAAAATGGAGCCTAATTCTGACACCATGAATTGGCCACGTGTGCCTGCTGACAACACTGTGTACAGACTTTTTTCTCTGAAAGTGAAGGTGGTCTTCCAAACAAGTATAGTCAGTATGATCAGTAAATCTGTATGACTGTGAGTTC